TCGAACTGTCCGATTACAAAATAAAATCTAATTAAAAAATAATTTAATTAAATAATATACATATTTTTTGTAGTATTTTAAATTTTCTTTTTCTTATTTTACAAGATTATAACTCCATTAACTTAATTAAAAAAATAAAAATGGAACATCTCCATATTCCTTAAGTTATTTCTCCATTTTAATCATGCACTCTAACCTTAATTCTAAATTTTTAATTCATCTCCAACTCTATTCTCTCAAAACTAGTTTGTGCCTTTACTCTTAAAACCCTAAATTTCTAATTTATTTTCAAAATAATCTTATGGTTTTCCTAACTAAGTTTTAAATAAGTATCATTCTAAAAGTCTGAAAACTATATAATAAAATTAGTTTTAATATTCAACTATTCTTAGATATTTAGTTTAGAAGTTTTAAATTTTGATTTTGAATGCTTCTAATCAATTTTAGTAATATTCATGTTAAATGTTATTCACTTTTAACAAGATTTAGAAAATGAGATTAAATTATTAGTGTATTAAGATTTAGAAAATGGGATTAAATTATTAGTGTATTAAGAAAAAGAAAATTAATTTTAACTTTTAAGAATTATTTACATTGTGCTAGAAATTTGACGTTATTTTTTTATTGTTTTTGGTGCCTCTAGTGATGTAACTAAGAAGAATTTTCAAAGTTTTTCAATTTTTACAAATGTAAAAGAGTATAAGAATTCATTTATAATTTTTACATTTTATTATATTTTTATTGATTTGGATGTTGATGTATTTTATAATTATATTTTCTATTTGATGTTAAAATATTTTTACATTATCTTATATATTTAATAATGTTAAAAACCGATCAATCCGATCGAACCACATCGATCTAATTTAAATTGGATTGGTTTGGTTATCACATAATAATGAATTGAATTGGTTTAAAAATTTTATTAACTGATTAAATTAGATTGGTTTAAAAAATAGTAGAATCCGAACCAAACCACACTTCGAACACCCTTACTTATTGGTATGCAGTTAGAGCAAATTGGACTCACAATTGGGAACTCTTTGGGGAAGGTTTTGGAATTTGATGACAGTTTTCACAAGGCAATTACAGTTTGAATTGATTTGGATGTGAATCAACCCTTAAGAAGATTTAAAACTTCTCAGATCTCGATTACAGAACGTAAGATACTTCGAATCAAACACGAACAGCTTCCAGAATTTTGTTTTGTCTGTGGCTGCTTAGGACACCTTGATCATAACTATGAAATTGCCAACAGTATCAAAGATGGTGGAGGTAAAATTGTTCGTCGTTATGGATCGTGGTTAAAGGCTGAATTGGAACACTCATGGTGCCCAGATGATCTTGATCTATTAGATGAAACCTTTATTGTGAATACATAGTATCTAGCTGGCAACAAGATGGTAGGAAACCAAGAGCGTTATGAGACTATTGTTAATGGAGCAAGCCAAGCAGAGGGACACAATGATAATGTTACTAGAGATCTGGAGGCAAATGCAAGCCAAATGGTAGGGCACCATGCTAATGGTGTGGGAGAAATTGCGAATAAAATAGCTCAACCCCTTACTTCTATTGTAAGAGAAATGGCTTTGACAGGAAATATGGAACATACTGATGGCTTGCCAGGTTTGATGCAGGACCAATTAGTGGAGATACCTTTGACCTTGGGTTTTGATGGTATTGAACAGTTAACAAGGAAAGGATATGGTGCAAAAGGAGGTTGGGACAAATGGAAACGAATAGGGCATGAGGGAGGGTTGTTGGTGCATATGGAAAACCTTAATCCAAGAAAAAGAAAGGGTAGTACAGTAAGTTTGGGGGAACAAAGGGCTACCAATGTGCTATTAAATAATATAGGAGTGACTATGATTCTTGAGGAAGTAGAGGACACTACTTTGGCCTTGCAGGTGGATAATTTTCATCCATTTGCAGGTTAAATATCAATTATGAATGGACAAGCATTGTAGTGCCAGGAGACACTACATCGCCAAGTCCACTGATCTCCCATGCTAGGTTTGGATGGTCTAATAGATGTGATTGCCAACAGCGACAGAAGCTCCAGTGCATTCTTTCTATGTTTTGCATAGCTCTATTGGGATCCCTATGATATATATTAATATTTAGAGGTTTTCAATTCTTAATTGTCACTACTTGTATGGAACACATAATTCTATCTGTTAGTGTCAGAGGTCCATCCTAGCTTTTTTCCTGCTCAGCCTATAAGGCAAGGTATAGTCTGTATTATAATTGTTTTCAATTATTAATACAACTATACTTCTTACAAAAAAAAAATTAAAAATCCAACCCAACCTATCAATTATAATTTTGATCTGTTTCAAATTCTTTTTGATAACGAACTTTTCTGCTCACCCCCTAAGTAAAAGGCTACATATGTTCAAGATATA